TACCATTGGAGTCCTAAATAGAAAGCTTTTTCCATTTTTTTTTTTTTTGGTGGCCTATTTCTCTACTTTTATGTTGTTTTCTTCCAAATAAAGACGAATTCAGATTATCAATCATTAGCATGAACTTTATGGGTCTTCTGGGTGTGGTGCGAGGCCGGTTTTAAATGGGAGTAGACGAGCATTTCACCCGGACAGGGAACCACTGAAGTCACCCGACTCGGATTTGGAGCCTCTGCCCTTCATTCTTACCAGAATGCAGGAAGTGCTGCTCAAAACTGTCCCGCGGGTGCGTTCTTCTTTTCGTTTTTCAGTGGTGGGCACTGACCCAGGCCTCTCACGTGCCAGGCAAGAGCTGCTGCCTGCAGCAGCAGCCCGGCCCGTCCTCACTTCCACCTCACACCAGGATCCACGCAGGGCAGGGGCAGCTCTCGCCACATCTCTGCCTCTTTCTCACTCCGGATCTGAACCCTCGCACGTGCTCAGCCTGCCAGACTCTGGGGCTCCCAGGGCACTGTGGCCTCCTCTGCCCACGGTGTGGCCAGGGACTGCACAGAAAGACTGCGCTGTTTTCCCTGTGCCCCTGATGCACGGATACAGCCCCGTTCGTCACAGCATCGCCACCACTGTGGCTCCGCCTCCCCAAGACCGCAAGCTCCTGGAGAACAGCAGCCGTCTCTGTCCTTGTTTGAATTCTCGGTGTCCATCAGAGTGCCCAGGAAGGACAGGGGACTGTGCAGTAGAATACTTGTAAAGGTCCTGGAGCAATGAACAGCTGTATCTCCCGGGCACACAGCAGAGGCTCGTTCCCTGTCTTTGGAAATCTTCACCACCTGCCCGTCACGGAACACCACCTGCACCTTGCCGGGCCTGGCTTCCCACAGCAGACGCATCTTGAATACTTGCTGCAGGAGCTGCAACACACTGGTGGCCACGGCAGGAGGGCGCCTCCCTTCTAAGCCCTTCCTTTCTAGCTGCCTCTCAGTAACCGGATCGAGTCATACATGTTTTAAGACTTTCTCTGATTCCACCTTCAGCCCAGGTTTCTCTTTCTCCGCTCCTTTCTCGGGTACCAAGGGATGGATGCCTGATCTGGTAAGAGTTTTGTTTGTTTGTTTGTTTGTTTTCCTGGCTGCTGCGCTGCTCCAGAATTGTACCGGTCAGCTTCCATCCCTGGGACCAAATACTTGACCCACACGACGTAAAGGGGAAAGATGGAGTTTGGCTCCTGGTTTCAGAGGTTTCTGCCTATGGCTGGCTGCTCCAAAGCAGGAACCTCACGATGAAGGAGAGCTGCCCGCCACACGGCAGCCAGGAAGAGAGCTGAGGGAAGGGCCAGAGAGAGCAGAGGAAGGGCAGGCTGTGCGCTTCTGTCAGGACCGCCCTGTTCCGTAAGCTTGTGGCTGGCTGAAGCCACAGGTGAGCGTAACCCCTGAGATCCAGCACCTTCCGCAGGGCACTGGGCGCCACTCGGTCATTGTGGGGCTCTCACTATGTTCTCTCAGCACCACGCTGTGGACACAGGAGGCCACTAGGTGTTGTGCTGGTTTCATTCTCTTCGCCTCCCCTGGTTCTCCCGCAGGTTCCTGGTCACATACCTGCTCGGGCCACCAGAGAGACCCAGAGCCACTGTCTGCCTGCTCGATCCTGGGTGCGGGGAGCCCATTCCCAGCCCGCTCCCGTTGCCCTCTGCCCTCCCGTCACTCCTGGGTGTCCCTCCCGGGAGGTGCGGCACCAAGACCTCCTTTACAGCCACCTCTTCCGCATCCATGGCTTGTTTCGCCTCCTGGTCTCCCAGCTGTCCTATCACCGTTCAAGCTGCCTCACGTCTGAAAGAAGAAATAGTCCACTTTAGGAACTCCTCACGATCCAGCAGGGAGTCCAACCCGTGCCACGGGCTAGACACCCAGAGGTGTAGAATGCTGTAGGTGGAGGAGTCGCACAATCAGTAATCATACGTCGCCATTATTGCGGTTTTAGGCGGATCTTATGACTGTGAGATTACAGCTGCGATGAGAATCACGTTAATAAAATAATCATAAACGATTTTTCTATGCTCCCTTGAGTAGTAGGCACGTGTTGAACGGGTTGGGTCCCCCAAGGGCCCACTGCTGAGCGCGAGGGTCCCCAGGCCGTGGAGACAGCTGGCTGTGCCCCCTTCCTCACCCACGGCACCGATTCCGACGCTCTTTTCGACACCTCGGAAGCCAGAGGACGGCCCACCTGGGTCCCCGCCCACAGGGAAGCATTCGTGGCCTCCCGTCCTAGGTGAAGCAGGGTCTGTCACACCGTGTCCTAGCGCCGCGTCTCTGCTCACCCGGAAGGTCAGCGAAGGCTCGGGCAAGGCCCAGGGTCGGCCCGGCCCCGCTGGGAAATCATCCCGGAGCGGCTTTGCCCATCGAATATAGCATTCTGAGATGCTTGGGGCGGATGGGGACACGACGGCCACCGGCGGTGAGGGCTGCCGTGGACCGAGGTGGGCAAACGGCACAGCTTGGGTCCCGCGCTTGCTTATCACGTGATCGAGGTCGACACCCACACGGGCTGCGCGCGAGGCCTGCGCGGCGAGCTTGGCTTGGACCCACCAGGGGCCTCCTAGCTGCGAACATAACTCTGTACCTGAGCTGCTCCCTTCGGTCCTGCGTAGACCGGATGACTGGTCCTTAGAAAGACAAGTCCAGCCCCGCTGGTCTAGCATGCCCAGGAAGAAGATGTTCTTATACCTTTGAATTGCCAATTTTCTACTCAAAGGTTCATTTTGGGGGGTACCAGGGATCGAACTGGGGACCTTGCGCTTGCAAGGCAGGTGGCGGCACCACTGAGCTGAGTCCCCCCGCCCTCAAAGGCTTTTTTGAAGAAGGCCAGAAAATCTTGGAGCAAAGCGTCTTTGAGCTTCTTTGTCTTATTCTCCAGAGCAGACGGATGAAATGAACGCTCTTCTCCGTGGGGCCGGGTCCCTTTCCTCGTTTTCGTCTGCATCGGTCCGTGTTTCTGGGACGCAGTGCCTGCCTTCCTCGTGCGCCACGCGTCTCGGTTCTTTGTGCAGCCCCTTTCCCTTTCTTCTCCCCGCTTCTCTCCATCTCCTGGACCCCAAAAGATCTACTTCCCACTGTGTAGCTTTTATTTTGCTATTTACTTATATTGGGGGCTTCTCATATCAGAGAAACCATGCGGTATTTAAGCCTGTGCATCTAACTTCTTTCACTTAAAATTATGGTCTCAAAGTGCATCCATTTTCCTACAAATGCCTCAAGTTTTCCTTTCTTTATGGCGCAGTACTACTCCATGGTGTTTAAACACCACATCTCCCTTATCCATTCATCTGTTGGTGGACACAGAGGCAGTTTCCAAGATTTAGTGATTATGAATTGTTAGCAGCACGTGTGTATGCATGGATCACTGTAATATGATGTCTTTAACTCTCGTTTTTTGTTTTTTTGAGACAGGGTCTCATTATGTAGTTGAGACTGACCTGGAACTCACTATGTAGTCCAGGCTGGTCTCAAACTCACAACGATCCTCCTGCCTCAGCCTCCTGAGTGTTGGGATTACAGGCACGAGCCACCATGCCTGGCTCCTTCTATACCTTTTTTTAATCATGAAAGGATATTGTATTTTGTTGGAGGCTTTTTCTGTGTCTGTTGAGATGACTGTGGGATTTTGTCGTTGCTTCAGGTTGTGTGATATGATACATTTATTGATTTGAATGTTCTGAGACATCCCTGCCTCCCTGGGATGAAGTACACATTTTTCTAAGTATACATTGTAACTCTCTACCGGGGATGTGTCCTCCCTGGGGCTGTGCAGGCTGTGTGCAGGGGCTTTTGCTTCTTTTATCAACTGGTTTAAGTTAAGTTACTAGTTTTTCCTTCTGGTCTGAGAGATGCCAAAGCCCTCCTCAAAACTATAATCCATCATCTTGGGGATCTTACTCTCCCCAAGGGTGGATGCTTCTCATTTAAACTCTGCTCACCTCTGTCAGCCTCAACTGCCTCAGAGTACCTTTTGCTGTCAGGATCTGTCTCTTTCCTGGCCACGATGTCACAGAGGGCCTCATCCCACTGTGTGTCTTAGCCCAGGCACACAGTAGGTTCTTAATGCATTTTCTTGTTTTGTTTTTGAGTCAGTCTCACTATGCATCCCAGGCTGGCCTTGAATTCACCATGTAGCTGAGGCCTGCCTCAAACTCACAGTGATCCTCGGGCCGCAGCCTCCTGAGTGCAGGAATTACAGGAATGTGCCACCACGCCCAGCTAATTTCTTGAATGAATGGGCATTAATACTATAGATGGCAGAAGGAAGTAATTAATTTTCAGTATGATTGGGGTGTTGTCTACTAAAGTTAGAGAAGTGTGTATAAATTCTTGTTTTCCAAATGCCTGCCATATTGAACATGAACTTTGGGTGTTTGATTCTCCAGTCTTCAAAGCCAAAAGCATCCCCATGGTTTCTGTGTGCTGTGGCTTATGGCTAGTTTGACTGTGGGCTACCTACCTGGCTGGGCCTGTGCTGAGACTACACTTAATCCCACCCTCTCTCCTCACCACCCTTTCCCCACCCCCATGCAGGAAGACACTCTTGAGAGAGTCTAGAAGAGCAGATCCACTCAGCAGTCCCTCCCCACACTGGGTGTGCTCAGTGGCACTCACTGTTTGCATGTGGAACTCTGTAGTGGGCAGAGCAAGGGCTCAGGGCCCTCCTGAGCAGGAGTCCACGTGTTGACTCTACAGTTCAGGTGGTCAGAAGTGAAAAGCAGCACAGCAGAAAAAGTTACTACTATTTGCCAGCTCCTTAAGGAGGGTTTCTACATCCTACTGGTCAGGCTGGAAGCATAGGGCCTTATCTAGCTGCAAGAGAGTCGGGAAATTGGCTCTTTTTTTCTACCTTGCCATATGCCAGCTCTGTTACAGTGGAGGAAAGAGAAAATGAGGCTTGAAGGTAGACTCTGCCACACAAACCCAACCATCACTTCTCACGACGCCTTTTGCTGTCAGGATCTGTCTCAATCTCAGGGAATGGTTCCAAAAATCTCACTGTATTCCTTCTGATCAATAATAATGGGGCCAGCTTCAAGTTTGGCACCAATACACACGTCATGTCCATGAATCTAGGCACTGATTCAAAGGGGATACAAAGATAAATAAGAAACAGTTTCTTTCCAAATAATGGGATGGTTCTTGTGCAGTGCCAGTGGCTGTTATCAAGTGTGAGAAAGGGGTTTTGGGCCCTCTAGGGGGTTACAGGGAGTGGCTTGGGAGCCTTCATAGAGGCCAATATTTGTATTAGAGGATTTTGATAGATAAAAGGGCTTTATTAGAAATAAGCAGCTATGAGCCAAAACCAACTGCTGAGCATGTTTCTGGTTGCAGGAAAGAGATTTTGGCTTATATAAATGGATTCAAGCAAAGCATTAGGGAGGAAGGGAGAGAGAAAACCCTTTGCCTTCCCACTTTCATTTATCCAAGGAACGAGGAAGAAAGAATACAGGGCACATCTTGATTTCAGGGATGAAATGTAGCCAAGCTTATGGTCATACTCCGTGTTTTCCTCTGAATTGCTGGATTCTTTTCATGTTGAAACACACACCCAGCAGAACATGAATGGTGTAGAGAGGCCCCTGTTAGAGATGAGTTCAATATTGGACAGTAGAATTAGCTGGAGTAGACTGAGGTAATGGTTTATGCTAAAATGATAAAAATAATCTCACTGGGAGAACAGCAAGAGAGCCCGGAGGAAAGCTTTCATGACTACAATAGAAGCAGTCTTGTCTAGCTTATTGGCACAAATAGGCACCAGGAAGATAAAGTAGCTTTCAAAAGTCATGTGGTAATATTGTGGAAGCAATCTGGATTTTCTTATAGCTGGGAAAGTCTGCTTTTCTTAGTTACCAAACCTCTTTCGCAAATGGTCTTTCTACAGCCTCCTGTCAAGTTTCAAATTGTACACTTTGTTTTCTAATATATATTCACACCCACAACTGAGAAAGCTACAGAGTTGAGTGTGACTAATGTCTCAAGAAGGCTTTCATCGTGCCACTCAACAACAATGGACACAGCATAGACTGCGAGGTTGCAACTATAATTATAAACCTCGGAGCCATCCCAATTGCATGTCAAGAGTGGACTCAAAGTTATTGGAAGACGCTGCTTCCTAAAAGAGCACAGAGTAGCTCCGGGACATCAGAGTCTGGGGAAGACCTGGAAGGAAACCCACCTACCCAGCCCAAGCACGAAGTCTGTGACATTCTCTTCCTGTGGAAGCTTTGGAGGCCTTTGCGAGACCCTGAGACCATCCTAGGGAAAAGATACAGGGCCCGTGTATGAAAGATGCTACTCTCTGCAGGAAAATAAGGACAAAAAATAATTATACAAAAATATCAGTAGCTTTAAACTGTTTTCTCACTTTACACAGGGGTTTTAACTTGAATGGCTCATCTTGAAATATTTTCATGATATAATGACAAGAAAATATCATAAAAATTTCACAGGTAATATACATCATCTTTAACTTGTAAAATTCTTTATGGCCACAGCCTTTAATCCAGAACTCTGAGAGGCTGAGTCAGGAGGATTTCAAGTTCCAGCCCACCCTGGGCAACTCTGTGACTTAGTGACACCCTGTATCAAACTAAAAATCTAAAGAGGACTGGGGAAGTAGCTCAGTCTGAAGGCTTGGATTCAATTCCCAGTATTGCAAAAAGCAAAGAAAAAAAAATCTTATTACTCAACAGTTTTGTATTTTAGTTGACCTAACACATTTTCTCTTTTTATTTTCACTTTAATTTCCTCCTGCTTTTGTATTCCTGTCCCCCCCGGTACCGGGATTGAACTCAGGTCCTTATTAACACATTTTCTCTTTTTATTTTCACTTTAATTTCCTCCTGCTTTTGTATTCCTGTCCCCCCCCGGTACCGGGATTGAACTCAGGTCCTTGTGCTTGCAAGGCAGGCCACCAAACCGCTGAGCTAAATCCCCAGCCCATGCTTTTGTATTTTTTGAGTGAATGGCTCCCATTTCATAGGTCAGATATGGCTTTGCTCCCACTCTGGGAGCCTTTCATGTCCTGGCAACTCTGATTTTGATCTCTCAGAACCCATCAACATCCCTGCCAGGTTCTTCCTCTAACAGAAGCATGCCTAGAGTTATAGTTTAGATCTAGACTTTTTCCCCAAATCTCACGTGCATGGAAAATTGCTGGATCACGGGTCACTCTACGCACCAGTGGGGCACCACCACTGATGAGTTCATGACTGGATGTACTTACAGGAGGTGGGGCCTGGTTGGAGGCAGTCACTGGGGATGTGAGCTGGACGGTGTGTTCTTGTTCCCAGCTTCTCCCTTCTCTGCTTCCTGACTGCCATGGTTTTAGTGGCTTTCCTCTGCCATGATGTTTTTGCCCTGGAGCCAGCCAACCATGGACTGAACCCACTAGGACTGAGAGCCAAATAAATTTCTCCTCTAGCAAGTTGCAGGTGTTGGGTGTTTCGTCCCAGTGATGGGCAGGTGACAGACACACCTAGGATTCTGGTAAGAGGTTACGAGGTAGCAGCAAACCCAGCATGAGAAGCCGTGTGTTGCACTCTCCATACAGATCCTGAGTTTGCATGCAGCCACTGCCCCTTTCTGGCTTGGAGACTTTGGACACGTTATTTAACAACTATGTGCCTCAGTGGCCTTTTTGTGAAATGAGGGTGAGATTACCTCCCTGATGAGGTTGCTGATGAGAGGAAGTGATTGTCTAGCATATAGTGACATCACGTCAGCTCTGTTATTGTGCTGTAACATCCCAGCAAGGTATTCACGCTTATCACAAAGGGCTCCTTAAGATGTTCTCTAGGCGAGGCAGAGAGTTCACTTCCTGGAGTTGAAGGGACCTGGTTTGAGGGTCTGCATTGCATGATCTCAATGTGTGACTTTGGACAAAAAGATGTAATTGTCTTGGGCCATGGTATTCTCAGGACATGTGTGCGAAATGGGGAA